CAGGGGTTAATATAAGGGTGGAGTACAGGGGTTAATATAAGGGTGGAGTACAGGGGTTAATACTGTCTCTATTCTACAGGGGCCAATCAAACCTACACGATTTATTTTCTGACTTTACAGTTCTTTTATGCTTTCTGATTAGCAGACTTTACAGTTCTATATATTTCCGGATTTCCTAACTTTACAGTTCTATATATTTCCGGATTTCCTAACTTTACAGTTCTATATATTTCCTGATGTCCTGACTTTACAGTTCTATATATTTCCGGATTTCCTAACTTTTCAGTTCTATATATCTCCTGATTTCCTGACTTTACAGTTCTATATATTTCCAGATTTCCTAACTTTTCAGTTCTATATATCTCCTGATTTCCTAACTTTTCAGTCTAAATCTTTTATGTCCCAAACTTTAAATTTCAATGTCCTAAACTCTTAAGTTTTCAATGCCTCCAAACTCTAAAGTTCTCTCTGTCTCCAAACTCTAAAGCTCCCAATGTCTCCAAACTCTAAAATTCTCAATATCTCCAAACTCATTCTCAATATCTCCAAACTCTAAAGTGTTCAACGTCTCCAAACTCTAAAGCTCTCTATGTTCCCTGTCTCTATGACTATTGATCTTCTGACTCTATTGCTCTAAAAATATTGTAAACAAACCAGCAGATATAGATAGTAGATTTATAAATGATAACAAGGTTATCAAGTTAAGACAGACATGTATACATACATAATTAAGATTAATTAAGGAGTGGGAGGGGGGAATAAATTAATATTTCTATTTAAAGGGACAGTAAAGGAAAAATGAAAGGGGGTATAGGCTGAAAGCTAATCACTTTAGCTCTTGATCGCGACCCATGAAAGTTTTATCTGATGTTCCTGTCTCGAGAAACTGATATAAAACTGTGTTAAAATTATACGAAAATTCATCTATGTAAAATTTTGAAAATCTGAAACTTAAATCACGTGACCAGAACTATCACCAATGGCAGAGCAGTATACTGGTCACGTGTCTCCGCCTGTATCACGTGACCCCTTTACTGCACTGCCATTGGTGGAATTTCTGGTCAAGCAATACGGATGTATAAATAATATTATGGATGAAATCTATTGAAAATAGAAACAACAAATATAAAAGTAAACCTAAATTACAATTAGCTTTCTCTGGGATATCATCGTTTTCAGATTGGTTGCTTATTTGCTGAATATGATCTGTTTAAACCTACTACTTTTATACAAAATTGTATATATATTAATTTTCGTATAGATTTGACACAGTTTTATATCAATTTCTCGAGACAAGAACATCAGATATGACTTTCATGGGTCGAGATCAAGAGCTAAAGTGATTAGCTTTCAGCCTATACCCCCTTTCATTTTTCCTTTACTGTCCCTTTAAAAAATAATTTAGTTCTTTGATTTGTAGATTTACATAATTGAACATCAATATTAGAAGGATAAATGAGAGAGAAAAAGTTAATATATTTTAAATGTTTAAATATTTCAAAAGATTTTGGCATATATCCCTTTAAACATTTGTCTGATTTAGGATGACGGAAATACTCTTCAGGGAACACAAAAGCTGAAAAATTATGGATATTGAGATCAATGCTTGATCTCCTCTTTTTCTTATGATTAAGATTAATTTAATCTTACTGCAGTTACGCAATTACTTCCAGGAAATTATCTAAAGTAGAGCCAATCAGAGTGAGAAGCCGAGAAGCCGAAAAATTATGAAATTTTGCCCGCGATCAATGTCAGAACTCTCATTTGTTGGAATCCAGCAGGGATTTCCAAAAGAGAGGATTAAGAAGAAACTCCAAAGTGTAGACAGTGGATACAGGGATTTAAAAATCCGGATTAAGGGTATCCAATACTAGTAGACGCCTACCCTTTATCAAGGATGACAAAAGCATTCTTCATGCGATTGCGACACCGTTAGGAAACACTCGAGTTTCACGGCACTAAAATTTCGGCTGGAAGAATATGGATATGTCCGTCATCGATTGTCAGATTTTGTTGTTGAAAGACTGCCATTGTGATTAAGACATACCTCTCTATAATAGAATGGTCGCATTTTCAGTTCCTTTCAAAAAGAAATTTAAAAACCCCTTTTGAAGCTTGTTTAAGTTTGGGATAACATTAAAATGAGAATTCAGTGATTATGCTGGTAACTTTCTTTATATAAGATTTTGAATTCTAACAGTAAACAGACAATTATTATATTAAGAGTGAATTTTAACAGTGTACAGGACAATCATGATATTAAGAGTGAATTCTAACAGTGTACAGGACAATCATAATATTAAGAGTGAATTCTAACAGTGTCCAGGACAATCATAATATTAAGATTGAATTCTAACAGTGTACAGGAAAATCATAATATTAAGATTGAATTATAACAGTGTACAGGACGATCATGATATTAAGAGTGAATTTTAACAGTGTACAGGACAATCATAATATTAAGATTGAATTATAACAGTGTACAGGACGATCATGATATTAAGATTGAATGCTAACAGTGTACAGGACAATCATGATAATAAGAGTGAATTCTAACAGTGAACAGGACAATCATGATATTAAGAGTAAATTCTAACAGTGTACAGGACAATCATGATGTTAAGATTGAATTACAACAGTGTACAAATATGAAGTAAAAATATATAGCGAGAAATATAATTCATCTAATAAAAAATCTATTGATAAATATGGATGAGATTATGATGGTTCAAAGGAAACATTTTTTTCAAATAAACGAACTAAACCAAGCTTATGAACAAGGTGTCCAAAGAAACATGGGAATTCAGAGACGACTTTAAAAATTGTCTTTGATTTCGGCTGTTTCATTTTCTAATTTTTTTTTACTTTTTTTCTTCAAAAAAAAATTTATTATACATATGAATTAGAAATCATTGTTTTTTGCTTTTTTTTTCAACTCTTTATCTTTATTTGTGATTTCTTTGAAAAAGTAACTTACGTATTTTTTTCTTATAAGAAACATAAAATAAAAACTTTTTGAGTCAGACAACTATATTATCTTCCACATTTTGATTAGATAAAGGTTACAAGGGTACCGTTGTAAATCGGGCATTGTCATATTTTCAGATCTTCACTTTCATTATTTTATGACCCGTTAATGACATAAGCGTAGTTTTCAAAATGCTTTGCAGGTCCACAATACATTTAAACAAGTTTTTAAACATTGCTCGGTCACAGCAAAGCGCTTTTTAGTATTTTTAGTAAAAAGTTCATTAAGGAATTCTTATATTTATCTTACATGGTATTTAGGATGCTGCGCGCTCATCTTCTATTAAAACAAAAAAGAAACAGTTCGCAGATTTCATAAAAAAAGAAACAATTCGCGGATTTCATAAAAAAAGAAACAGTTCGCGGATTTCATAAAAAAAAGAAACAGTTCGCGGATTTCATAAAAAAAAAGAAACAGTTCGCGGATTTCATAAAAAAAGAAACAGTTCGCGGATTTCATAAAAAAGAAACAGTTCGCGGATTTCATAAAAAAAGAAACAGTTCGCGGATTTTATAAAAAAGTTCGTGGAATTTGTAAATCTAAATTTATTAGATATTAGAGCCAATTTTTGTTTGATCATTCATAACCCTTCCATGGGATCATTTGGGCTGGATCGGTTCAGCCGTTTTGACGTTTATTTGACACGAACAAACAGACAGACACCCAAACAAACAGACAGGCAAAGTTTATACATATAAATGAATAAATATAGTGATTTAGGCGTATTTACTGCTTACGAACCAAAAATGCATATTTTGGACATTAAATACGAATTAATAATATTAGAGTGCTGGACTACCACAAACTAATATTTAATGCTTAATGGTAAATAGTAAATATATATATTTTATCAAATTTAGATAATTGCATTGCATTGCACACTTGCATGGACACAATTACTTGCCTAGTTTTCAAGCAAATTACTATTTCTTTGTTTACGCAAGCTGTAAAGGTCACAGAATATATACGTTACTTTTGTACAATATAGTTTATATGCATTATACATTCAGGTTTGTCATTGCAACTTAAATTATTTTAATTTAATTTGTTGAATTTATTTTTCAAAATATATAATGTATAATGCAGTAGAATTAATGTTATTCTCAATATTCTATATAATAAAGCTCTTCGCTCATTTAATGTTAGCCATAGCTGGCCAAATGCTAGATCAAATTGGCTGACATTTTTTTGTGGGTAACCATTGCATGGTGCCCCGGGGATAACAAGGACTACAAAAAATTGGAAATTTTTTTTCTTATTGAAATTGTTTTCCCAAATTGTTATAAAATTCCCCAGGCAACTCCGGGTACTTCAGCTAGTTTTAATTAAAACCGACCACTCCGTCGTTGAATTGAAACATCTTTTAGATATTTTATTTCGTTTCTGGGATAACGAAATTGAGTTTTTTTGCCACAAACTTAAATATTATGTCTTTGCAACCTGATGATGTAAACTATTGATATTTTAAATTTACACTATTTGATTTAACAAAATTTATAATATCAAAGGTCTAAAATATTGGATTGTTTGTCTTCTAAAGGATTGGGTCTTGCCACAAACTCTGATTTTCTAATCCGTATATCTTTGTAACCCAATGTCGTAGATCGTAGATACTATACAAACTATTAAATCTGTTAGATCAAATAATCTAAGTTTGAATTTCAAAGGTGTACACCATCAGGATGCGTAGATATAGGGATTATAAAATTCTATTTAGTGGCATAAACTCAATTCCTTTGTAAAATACAAAAGTATGATAGGAAAGAATTTCCTTTAGAAATAGGAAATTAGGAAATTAGGAAATAGGAAATTAACAGGGTAACGGGTGTCCCGGTTTTTTATCTAGTGTTTTATATTATAAAAGTTCTCGGTATAGTTTTTTTTTTGCATGCAAAGTTATTGTTGAATTTGAAATTAAAATTGAAATAATACGAACAGGTTGTTTCGTGTTTTGTGCATCTTTTATTCAAANCTTATTTATGTAAACTTTAACTTATGTTCAGCACGCCACAATGCATTCACATTATAAATCTGTAAATAAATCCGTCAGACACCACGCTGCTCTAATTTATTTTTGAAGTTGGGGTGAAAATGTTGAAATCTGTCAGGAACCACGCTGCTCTAATTTATTTATGAAGTTGGGGTGAAAATGTTGTAATCTGTCAGGAACCACGCTGCTCTAATTTATTTATGTAGTTGGGGTGAAAATATTGTAATCTTTCAGGAACCACGCTGCTCTAATTTATTTCTGTAGTTGGGGTGAAATTATTGTAATCTGGCAGGAACCACGCTGCTCTAATTTATCTATGTAGTTGGGGTGAAAATATTGTAATCTGTCAGAGACCACGGCGCTCTAATTTATGTATGTAGTTGGGGTGAAAATATTATAATCTTTCAGGAACCACGCTGCTCTAATTTATTTATGTTGTTGGGGTGAAAATATTGTAACCTGTCAGAGACCACGCTGCTCTAATTTATTTATGTAGTTGGGGTGGAAATATTTTAATCTGTCACGAACCACGTTGCTCTAATTTATTTATGTAGTTGGGGTGAAAATATTCTAATCTGTCAGAAACCACGCTGCTCTAATTAATTTATGTAGTTGGGGTGAAAATATTGTAATCTTTCAGGAACCACGCTGCTCTAACTTATTTCTGTAGTTGGGGTGAAATTATTGTAATCTTTCAGGAACCACGCTGCTCTAATTTATTTCTGTTGTTGGGGTGTAAATATTGTAACCTGTCAGAGACCACGCTGCTCTAACTTATTGATGTAGTTGGGGTGGCAATATTGTAATCTGTCAGTGACTACGCTGCCCTAATTTATTTATGTACTTGGGGTGGAAATATTGTAATCTTTCAGGAACTACGCTTCTCTGATTTATTTATGTAGTTGGGGTGAAAATATTGTAATCTGTCAGGGACTACGCTTCTCTAATTTATTTATATAGTTGGGGTGAAATTATTGTAATCTGTCAGGAACCATGCTGCTCTAATGTATTTATGTAGTTGGGGTGAAAATATTGTAACCTGTCAGAAACCACGCTGCTCTAATTAATTTATGTAGTTGGGGTGAAAATATTGTAACCTGTCAGGAACCACGCTTCTCTAATTTATTTATGTAGTTGGGGTGAAAATATTGTAGCCTGTCAGAAACCACGCTGCTCTAATTAATTTATGTAGTTGGGGTGAAAATATTGTAATCTTTTAGGAACCACGCTGCTCTAATTTATTTCTGTAGTTGGGGTGAAATTATTGTAATCTGGCAGGAACCACGCTGCTCTAATCTATCTATGTAGTTGGGGTGAAAATATTGTAATCTGTCAGAGACCACGCTGCTCTAATTTATTTATGTAGTTGGGGTGAAAATATTGTAATCTGTCAGGAACCACGCTGCTCTAATTTATTTATGTTGTTGGGGTGTAAATACTGTAACCTGTCAGAGACCACGCTTCTCTAATTTATTTATGTAGTTGGGGTGAAAATATTGTAACCTGTCAGAGACCACGCTGCTCTAATTTATTTATGAAGTTGGGGTAAAAATATTGTAACCTGTCAGGAATCACGCTTCTCTAATTTATTTATGTAGTTGGGGTGAAAATATTGTAACCTGTCGAGACCACGCTGCTCTAATTTATTTATGTTGTTGGGGTGAAAATATTGTAACCTGTCAGAGACCACGCTGCTCTAATTTATTTATGTTGTTGGGTGAAAATATTGTAATCTGTCCGGAACCACGGTGTTCTAATTTATTTATGTTGTTGGGGTGAAAATATTGTAATCTGTCAGGAACCACGCTGTTCTAATTTATTTATGTAGTTGGGGTGAAAATATTGTAATCTTTCAGGAACCACGCTGCTCTAATTTATTTATGTAGTTGGGGTGAAAATATTGTAATCTGTCTGCAGTAATCATGTTGATCTATTTTATTTATGTAGTTTATTTATGTAGTTGGGGATGAAATAAAGAGTTTTTGATTGTTTATGCGTCTTTAGATTTCATTTTTTATCTGAAAGAACACTTAAGCGTTTAAATTGTAAAAACCTTGTAACTCCGTAAACTCCATAGACTCAATGAATTCCATGAACTCCATAAACTCCATAAATTCCATGAACTCCATGAACTCCATGAATTCCATGAACTCCATAAACTCAATGAATTCCATGAACTCCATAAACTCCATGAATTCCATGAACTCCATGAACTCCATGAATTCCATGAACTCCATAAACTCCATAAACTCAATGAATTCCATGAACTCCATAAACTCAATGAATTCCATGAACTCCATAAACTCAATGAATTCCATGAACTCCATGAACTCCATGAATTCCATGAACTCCATAAGTTTCATGAACTCCATAAACTCCATGAACTCCATGAACTCCATGAACTCCATAAACTCCATAAACTCCATAAACCATTACAAAAATGGCAAAGAAAGATTCCAATTGAAGTAGGCAGATGCAAATATTCAAAGAATATATAATCAAGAGAGTAAGAACGAGAAAAAACAAACATCTTTTGATGAACACTGTTGAAACAGAACTGGTCAAAACTGGTATTCAACTTGAAATACAAATTTAGTATTTAACAAAAAGCCTGAAAGCAATTTGTTCCCGGGTTAGTACCTAGGAGATAATGTATAGTAGAATAGTAGAAAACCAAAGAGATAATTTAACTATTAAAGGAACTGTTAACGTAACTTAAACACCATAGTTTCAGTAGAAGTAAATATTTCCATTTACTGTTGTAGCGCCGATTACAGGATTAATAGCTTATTGGATAATGAGCTAGATAGAAAGATAGATGTTACCGCCATGCAATTTCTATTGGTTCAGAATAGACACCAAACACATGACTGAAGCCTGATTGGACCAGGTGCTAATGGACTCAGCATACAGGAGTGTAAAGGGAGCTTCCAAGGAAATAATGACAAGCCCATTTCACAACTGAACCCTTGAATCCTTTGTCACATCAAAACTGAAGAAGATATTTGTTATAAACCTTGAATTATACCAAGGGAAGGGGAACTAATTTATGATAAAAAGGTTTTTTACCTCAGAAATTAGTTTTTAATTTTACCCTATGAAAACTTTTTAAATTTAAGGCCCAAAGCCGAAATTTTAAAAAAATCGACCTGAACCGAAGTGAGTTGTTTTTTATTTTGTCATTGTTCAAATATTTACTATTTTAGTATTAATGAGAATATAAAAAATATAAGGAAGGATTACCCACACAAGGATGAGACTTGAGAGACGACTGTACAGAATTATACTGTCTATTTCCTTATATTTAGGGTTCTCTGCATTGAAACTGCTTTTTAATCTGCAATATCAATAAATAGGCCAGTCAAACACAATATTGCGAGAAGAAGACTTGATTTAACCTTGTGATTGCAATATTTTTTGAGTTTCAGGTCGTCTTTACACTCTCATTCTTTATCAATAACCCTGTAGGGACCAAAGAGGAAGCATCAATCCAATACTCATAAGAGTTTAGGAGAATATAATCCGTCTCAGTTTACAAATAAAAATTGTAAAAATCCAAAAATTTAAATTTTGATAAATTTTTTAAAAAGAAATTGTGAACAGTTAAGAGGAAAATAAATTTTACAAATATTTTGTGTTTATCTCTTAATATACCCTGGATGTAATGTATATACTCGAAGATTATAGAATTAACTAGAACGTATTTCTAATTTTATCTGTTGAATCTGAGGCACGTACCATGCTGTGCACCAAAATTGTACCAGACACCAACTGGTTCTCCTTACAGAGGCGTGGCATAGAAACCAGGGGTGGGGGAGCTGGGTGCAGGGGGAAATGGTAGAAGGGTGGTAGGGAAGAATGGAAGGAGGGTGGTGGAGAAGAATGGAAGTGTGGGGAAGGTTGGAAGGAGGGTGGTGAATGGTGGGGAAGAATGAAATCAAATCTGACATAGTAAACTGTAAGTGCAGTAAGCTGCAAATTAAAAAAACAAGTTTTAATAAATATTTGTAAATCACCGAATTTACTGAAACAGAAGTGTTGTAAAATAGGTCCAAGTCAAGAAATTTTAGAACAGGAACTGTTGCCTTCAGTTGGTTCGTGTTAGGTCCGTTTTTTACAGACATTTTCTTTCAGGGGTCAAAATATGTCATTTTATAAGAAAAGCAAATATTAGTAAGTTTAATCTGCATGATATAAATAATATATTTGGAGGTTTTTAAAGTTTTTCTTGAACATTAAACAATGAAGAACGTTAATAAACATTTTAAATTGACTAATTATGGTTAGTACGTTTTAAGCATATTTTTTTGTAAAATTGATAAATTATTATAGGAAGGAAACCCTTATTGTAAAGAAAGTTAATTAAATTAAGGATCTAATTATCATTTTTTTCCATGTAATAATAAAGCGTTTCGCTGAAATATAGAAATTTACATATACTAGAAATTCAGGGCGCTTTGCGCAACTTCTTTCTAGGCTTTTAGGGCGCTTCGCGCCCATCTTATATTTCAACTTTTAATTGTGGCTTTATCTCTGAACATCTTCTCTTTGTACAGTATAAAACAAAAACAAAAAAAGTTTGCGGATTTCATAATATTTTTTGCGCATTTTCAAAATTTGTCAAAAATAAAAAACTTTTAAACATAAATTTTTAAAATTTTGATCATTCATAAACCTTCCCTGGGGTCACGTGAGGTCCCACAAAAAATTTGGGCCCGATCGGTTCAGCCGTTTTGACGTTTATTGGACACAAACAAACAAACAGACAAGCCAAATTTATATATAGATGTTAGCTACAGTGGCTAAACGACTGGAACAAATTGGCTGATTTTTTGTGAGGGAGCCCATGGGTACCCCGGAGTGATATAGGTTAAAATAAATAGATTTTTTTTATCAAAATTAAATTTTTTATATTCAATGTGTTTTTAAAATTCCACTGGCAACGCCTGGCATTTCCGCTAGTTTTAATAAAGGTATAGGTTAGCAATGTGTAGTATAACTAAAGGTATAGGTTAGCTGTGTATAGT